GTATACATAGAATAGCACTTTACTGTATATGTGTAATTTGTCTGAAAACAGTGGTGTCTTTTGTAATTGTAACTGATTTTTAAGGTGTTCTTTAAACCGTGTAGTATTCTATTTAAACTTGAATGTTAGTCTTGTTATGTGTTGTTTTGTGATGACCTGACGGGGGACTGCAGATGGAAAGTAGCCCTGGGGCTAATTCTGGCATATTTACATTACTGAAATGTTTATCAATATGCATTGTCCCTTTTAAATAAATAAATAAATAAATAAATAAAAATAAATTTTGAAGTAACGTTACACGTCTGCAGTATTATTGTTCTTGAGTTTCATCAATGGTCATTTAGCTGCTGTGTTTCTGATGCTTTTCTAAACGTATCATATTATGGTAAGGGAACAGTCATAAATGCCATTAACCCCAGTGACGGGTAGGTTTAGGGATGGGGTTGAGGTAAGTCATATATTTATATATACAGTAATAACGTTAAGTCAACGGCGTTCATAAACACGCTGAAAAGCGATAATGCGTCTTGATAGCACGCCAAAAATGGAAATACGAATTGGTGTGTCATACACACGCTACTTCATGAGATTAGTCTGGGAAAATTACTGTTTTTCTATTTCTTAGCCAATGAGAATCATTCAACGTGTAAGCAATGACGTAGTTTAGACCTTGGAAATGGTATAACTGCTGTGTTACTATGGTATAATCTTTGTAACTGTAAGAAGGCGGCCCATGAAGAAGGCGCTTTTTAGCGTGTTTATGAATGCCGTTGACTATTACTATTATTACTGTATATATAAATATATGACTTACCTCTACCCCATCCCTAAACCTACCCGTCACTGGGGTTAATGGCATTTATGACTGTTCCCTTACCATCCTAGGAAAGAAAAAGATAGCTCCCCAGATGTAGATGTACATATTGCTTCTTTTCGCTCGGACATTTGACGGCGTGTACAGACACGCGGAATCATGCGGACGTTAATGGCGTAGACATACATGCGGATAGCTCAAAATGCGTAGAGATAACACGCCACTTGACTCGAAAGTGGCGTGTATGTTTACGCAAAAGTCATGATGTCATGTTGCTAACAGTCAAGTCTAGCTTCTCCAAAAAAAAATTTTTAATACGTGCATACAGTTTACAGTATTCCATTTTTTTATTATACTTTCATTTCTTTCTTGAATGCTACTGTCATGATGTGGGTTTGTGTTCTGTCATGTTCTATAGTTCCCCGTCTTGTCTATTAGTTTCCCAGGTGTTTCTGATTTCCCACACCCCCTTGTTATCTTGTCTAGCTTGTTTTGTCCCTGATTATTTAAGCCCTGTGTTTCAGCCTTGTCTTTGTGAGTTCTTGTTTGATGTTTAACTGTTAATGTTAATGTTGGTTGTTCTTGTTCCTGTTTCTGAGTCCCAAGTCCTGTATTCAGTCTAGTTTGTGTAATCTGTTAAACAAAGCATGTGCTGCACTTGGATCCTGCCACATTTCTGCTTCAACCACACCACCGTTACAGAAGAAGAAATTGACATTTTGGATTTGAATGTACACCGCTTGTACTACAGAATGACGTATTTTGTGGCATCTTTTAATCTAAAACGTCATAAAAAAATGGCACCAGAGCCTCATTTATAAAATGTAGTGTAGAAAGCGTACAACATTTGATCATAAGATCCTTTCTGAAATGTCCAATGTAAACTGGATCTCTTAAAAGAGTACTGGCAATTGCCATTAACAACCCATGCCCAAGAGTTAACAGCTTTTATTATGCCATCAGGGTTATACTCGTATGAGTTTTGAGTTGGAAAATGCTACTTTTGAAAAACGTGAATTTGCCAAGGCAGTGAAGTACTTGGGTAAGGAGGTGGGACAGATCGAAGTACGTCTTCTCTGAGCTCAAGTTTCGGCTATTGAAGGTTTTCCTCCTCTATCGACCAAAAAGGATCTTATGCGTTTCTTGGAGCTTGTTGATTATAGAAGCGTTTGTCCTAATTTTTCCACTGTTGTTTCTCCGTTGACTGATGTGTTGAAAGTTTGAGTAGACATTTGTCAGAGGGCTTTTGACAACATGAAATTGTGGTGACAGCTCCAGTCACCACAATAAAGATAAAGATAGAATGGACCATCCAGTATGTTACTTGTCTCGAAAATGTAACATACAAAGCAATTATTCCATTATCAAGAAAGAAGCTTTGGGTATGTTTTGGGCGCTCAAGCAGTTTGATGTTTATGTTGGAGGAGGCGTAGAGGTGTTGGTAGGCCTACACAATCCTCTAACTTTTAGTCCTAGTCAACATTAGATGCAGTTGGTTTTATTTGTACAACCTTATAACTTGAATATTCAACAAATCAGAGAGGTTGATAACATTATGCCTGATGCATTATCTTGTACTTTTAATGTGGTCGAGTAATGGTTGATTTCTATGCCTATATGCTGTCTACCATTTTTCTCTATCTCCTTAAATTGCTTTCAGGATCCGGATTGCTGGGGATGGAGATGATGGGTAGGTGTGGTGAAAGGGTTAGTGGGGTGAGTTAGTTTTCTCAATCATAGGTCCAGTTCTTTACTTTGTTGTACTTTACAATACTTGTACTTCATATGATTCATGTCTCTGTATGCAGTCTGCTAAAGCTGAGTGGAAATTTACTGGGAAATAACTACACTGAACATAGGCTGATAAGGAGAAGTATTACAACTTGTTTTTCAGAAACTGCACATCCTTAAAAACTGTCTATTTGTAGAAGCAAGACTTGACAGCTAAGAGCAGGACAGACATTTTAACCACTTTCAGTACAATATGGTGTGTGCGTATCTAAGAAGACCACGTACTAGGCGTATGGAAACTTATGAGTAACGATATTAAATTTGAAATATCAATTGAATTGAATGTTGCGAAATTGCAATGTATTTCAAATTGACATTTTCCATTCCAAATGAACAACACTTGGAACAAAATTCTTATTCATATTCATTAATATAATTTACATGTTCTATTTCCTACACTAGTTTTAACATATCATTTAAGAATATATTTTAACAGTTTATACAAAGTATGTTGCAATATTAAAATGAAAATGTAATACAGAAATGATTCAATATGTTTAACATGTTCAAGCTTTCATCATATGTCCTGCAATGAATGAAGCAAAATTCAATGTGGAATTGAAAATGCCCTGTCAATCATTGCACCGATCCTGACCCCTCAGAAGGGGGTCACCCAATCTGTCTTCAAAGTTTCACTTTTGTTCCTAACCATCAAGTCTAGCTTCTCCAAAAGATAGTTTCAGTTAGGGTTGGGAACCGAGAACCGGTTCTTTTCCAGAACCGGTAGTGTTTTTGAAAAAATACCGGAACCGTGCAAAATTCCTAAGTTTCGGTTCCTAAAACGGTTCTGGTGCGATATGAGGGCGAAGTCCAGGGACTGGGAGTAGATTATCCTTTAGCGTCTCACCTCTAGGCGCAGATAGAGAGAGAGAGAGTAGAGCTGCATGATTAATCTTTAAAAGATTTCGATTCAAACACCTACGCCGTCTTATTCCTAAATGACAAAAACTTAACCACTGAAGTTGCGATTGCTTTCACACACGCTGCATTTATAGTGCACACGCGCGCGCCGAGTCACGTACATTCAAATCTGTTTGCGCTGAGAGAGAGAGAGAGAGAGAGAGAGAGAGAGAGAGAGAAGTTGTCGATATGAAACTGCTTTATAATCACACAGTATCAATATTTATATTACACATATTCAAATGATTAACGTTACAGAAGTAGTGAGATTATAGTTTGAGTAAACATTGACGGTATCAAAACGCAGTCCGTAACTTTTTTGTGTTCAGAATTTACAAAATGTATACAATGAGCGAGTGCATCATGAATGCTTTTTTTCAAACCGTGTTTTTGTCTTATCTTGAATCACTACGTAAAGCCTGTAATAAGCGTTAATACTCCGACTTGTTTAGACTGGATGGCGGATCGCAGCCGCTGCGGAGTAGCCCAATGCCTGCGTGACTCGTCATGGACATAAACAGAGAGAAGTGGCTCCGGCAACAATGTTCTTCCGCAAGACGCATGCACTGCAGTTCTGTTTATTAACTGCTATTTAGGACCGATTTATCCAGTAATAATGCAATAATTAAAGTCTTTATGAATCAATAATTCAAACCGTTTTTAAAAATAATCTGTTCTACACACATATGTGTGTTAAAGCATATTCTACCCCATCACTGTTGGAGATAGAATAAAGGAGAGGTCCTAAATTATTCTAGAGAATGCAGAATTTTTTAATTTCCTTTTTATTTATTTTTTTGATGAATAATATGATTAATAATATGTTGAATTTGTTTACATTACCAGTCTGTTAAACTCATTTGTCAAGTACTATAAGAAATAAACACAAAAGGGATTGTGGATTTTTCTCTTACTAATATTTTTAATTGAATGGGAACCGGAACCGGAATCGTTTGGCGGAACCGGAATCGGAACCGGAAAATTTCTCACGATTCCCAACCCTAGTTTCAGTATGTGTAGCGGTTTCAAAAAAAAAAAAAGTGTTGTAACTTTTTTTATTCAAGCTGTTCTGTTGACAAAGGAACTTTCCAGCATTCCTTGCTCGGTGTAAGGGAGAAATAATTTGTTTTGATGAAAAAAAGAATGTGTGAGTTCTGTACCTGCATCAGCAAAGTTCACATTCACTATTTACGCAAACAATTATTGGAACATCGACATATTGCTTAAACATATGTTCATGTTAGGATAAGAAAAAATCAGGGTAAATTTAAATGTATAATCAAAGGCCATCGAAGTCATCTTTTTGGCATCACGACAAAACTACTTTACAAAGGATTTGAGACACCATATATCCTAATGAGGTTCTTCTGATGATATACCAGCTGGAGTGACATTTGACAATGAATAATCCCATTTATTTGATGGCATTTTAGGATGCGAGTTCATGTGAATGGGGTGTGACTTGTTGCCAGCCCAATCACAGAGTTGCAAGGAGTGGCCCTGATTCACTCTATAAAACCACAGTTTAGATGTAAATGAACTGTGCCTAAACCTGAAGGGGACAAATCATTCTGGAGTAATAGTGGGGGAAAAAGGTATGTTGCTAAAATTTAAATATTTTTTGTCAATTCTGTCCTCCAAAAAAAAACAAAAAACAAATTCAGATATTATAATTATTTGTAATGGCTGCTAGATCAAAAAGTGAACAAAAAATATATCCCAGTTTTCAGACAAAAGTAACAAATAATTAATATTTTAACCACACCATCGAACTATGTTCCCAGGATTTTTTATAAAAGTCAGATCAGGCAATACCTGTTGACCAAAACAAAAGATGAATATTTCATAGTGTGCTTCATAACTGTATTGCAGATGATACTAGAAGAATACACAACTGCTGTGGAAGATTGTTATAACGAAATCATGTTGTGGTGATTCTTAAAACTTTTTAAACAAGTCCCAGAGCAATTTTTCCCTATCAATATTTCATAATTTTTTCGTAATGAAATATTAATATTACCAAACGCCCAGTGCATTCAAATCCAAGACTGAGTTGGTTAGAGACACCGCCGAGGACCCTGAATCAACAACATCTGACATCTTTAACAGGTAAGGACAATATTTGATTGCAACAGATTATGGTAGTGTTACAGCGGTATAGAAATACAACAATATATAAAATTTGGATTTATTATTCAAAAACCTGTCGTCCAGCGGCTCCAGCCATCTTCCTCCATTCCTCTTCCATCCTCATCGTCCAAAATGTGGTTTAGGTGGGCAGGTCAATGCAGTACAAAGAACACCAACAATATGTAGGAAGTTGGAAAATAACAATGTATTTTTGTTAACCAAATGCTTTTTAATATTTGCTATAGCTTCAATCCAACTTGGGTGCATTTCCTGCACAATGACGTAGCTCACTGCTTCATTACCAAAGTACAATGGCCCTCATTTATCAAAAGTGCGTACACCAAATTTCCAGCGTACACCTGGCGTACACCCAAAACCACGGTGATTTTGAGATTTATCAATATGGACGTTGCCGTACGGCACACTCAAATCCTACACCAGCTCAGGAGGTGGTGTACGCACGTTTTGAGTTAGTGCGGAAATGCGCAGAAAAATTCCCCAACACCACAAAACGCACTGACATACTAAAAGATATGATATATTATGACCCAGTGTAAAACAACAACAACATAGTATTTATAAACTTCAGTATTTATTTTTGTGCAACATGGACTTCAATTGTTTAATTTGTGAGACTTTACCAAGGCATTTGATTTGTAAGCATTCCTTCAGTTGCGAGCCTGTGGACTTAACCCTACCGTTTCAGGATTATCCCGGCAGGTGCGCACGGACTGGGTTCGGTAATGAAAGGCTTTCAATGACCAAAAAATAATTCAGACTGACAAAATAATAAAAGATACATTCCTCTTCTTTTACATATAATTATAATACAAATAATAATAATAACGACATTCTTCTTCTAAATAACAAGTGCCATTAATAATACAAATCATAATAGGCCTAATAAGAAGAAGAATATTGCAAATTGTCATGCAATTATTAATGTGAATGAATGGTACTCCACATCACATCATCATCATCATCACTATTGTACACCCCAATACATGTGAAGTGATTCTAAATTGAGTGCTAATTCAAAAGACGTGTTGTAAAATAATGCATTGTGATAGGTTATTTCGGCATCTCTTCTTTGCCGTCTTCCGTGTCTTCCACGCCCTCATTTTCCGCCATGGACACACGGAAGATGGCAAAGAAGAGAAACTTCTCCGACGTGGAGCCGAAATGACCTAGCACAATGCATTATTTTACAGCACGTCTTTTGAAATGAGCATTCAATTTCGAATCACGTCACATGTATAATAGTGATGATGATGTGAAGTAGCCTAACATTCATTCACATTAATAATTGCATGACAATTTGTAATATTCTTCTTATTATGATTTAATGACGCTTATTGATATTTAGAAGAAGGATGTTGTTATTATTATTTGTATTATTGTTTATCATTTAAAAGAAGAAATGATAAGGTAAGCACGCGCTCGCTTACCTCTCTGCCGTCGTGCACGAGCCGCGGTTAAGGCCAATTTATACTTCTGCGTAGGGTGCGCGCAGTAGGTACGGTCAGAGAATGTCTAATTGAAGAGAATTGGCACTGGCTGGTTACTTCCGGGTTCTGGACTGGCTGCATTAACGCGTCTCTGTCCATGCGGGGGCGTTCGCGGTCGAGTGCAGAATGAATGGGAGTCAATGGGGTTTCACCCCCAGAAATCCACTTTTCTCAGGATGTAATTTTTTGTCAAGTAATTTGAAAGTTGCATTCAAAAGGGAGGGCTAAGAAAATACACTCAGCTGAAAATTGCATTTTCAAGTTCACTTATCTGTTCTAAAAATCTGTTCAAAAATGTGATGACGTCACACAATAGCTGAATGCTAGCGTGTTCCAGCCAACAACAGCCTAACCTGTAAGAAATCAAAAGGACATAAGTACTCGTTCATTCGACTTTTGGCCTATAATCTATATTGAACTTGCGGAATCAACAATAAAATCTATTTTGATTTAACGACAAGCAGGTGAAAGAGACACATTTAGCCGTTTAGCCCCATAGACTCCCATTCATTCTGCACTCGCCCGCGATCACCTCCAGTGGAATTCTAATGGAACTGCAACCAAGGTGATGCACAATGGGGCTAATAGAAAGTGCCAAGGCTCTCCGTTAGACGGGCTCTGGTACGGCGTAGCATACGCACAGACGCGTCCCATACCGCGTACCCTTCGCCGTCGCCTGACGCGCACCTCTTCAAAAATGTAACTACACGTCGCGACGACGCGGACCGCAAGATCGGTGATTGGTCGGCTTGGTAGCATCACAGTTCCTCCTACGCATTTCCGCACGTCGTACCTTCTCACGCATTTCCACCACTGTCTATCATTTCCACACGTTTCATCTCCTCCGAAGTCTTCTCTCATTTCTGCCTTTCAGTTTTAGTAATTTCACTAAAGTGAACTGTTTTTCCACCTTAATAAGCTCCAACTCCAACATGATCAGCTCTCTTTCAGTCGCTATTGCTTGTAGTAACCTAGCCGTGAGGAATCTAAACACAGTGGAACATTGAAACCCTCCGCCGCCAACTAGCGTTTCGGCGCAGTACTGCAGAGCAACCAAGACCTGAACGCAGAAGTATAAATGCTCGCAACGGTGTCGCCTACGCCAACGCCGTACACTACGGCGTACCCTCGACGCAGAAGTATAAATTGGCCTTTAGGAGCTCAACATCTCACATGCGCGCTCGCACTAGATTACAAGTTATTTTAACTTGCGAATTAATATGCGGCGATAAAACTGATCACGAGTGGCTCAACAGGTAGATCTATAGACGAACTCATCTTTCAGGCATTTGACCGAAGGGATTGACACTTCAGCGTGAGAAATCGTATTGCGCGAGTCTCACGCTGAATGCGTGAGAGTTGGCAGCCCTAATAAAAATGTAAATGTAATTTTATAATTACAATATAGATATTTTATTTAATATTTTTTCATTAAAATAAGTTAATTGGGTGGAAAAAAATGTTACAGCACTAAATATATTAAACCTGACAGCAAATTTTTACCAACACTGTCTCAAGGTAGGGCTGGGCGATATGGCCAAAAAATCATATCTCGATATTTTTTGGTCAAATGGCGATATACGATATATATCTCGGTACTTTCTACGTTTTCTATTTAGATAAAGAAAATCTTTATATTTAAAAAAAAAAAAAATATATATATATATATATATATATACTGTATATATTCACATTCGGCCCAATGATATCCTACAAACAATGTTGATATTGAAGGATATGGAAACAAATATAATATAGGCTATGCAATATATTATGTGCAAAAAGCTTTTGTTTTTATATTGACTAAAAGCTCAACTAAAAATGAAAATAAAAACAAAAACAAAAGCACAAACTAATTATATTAGCCTGCATTTGATTACCCCATTATAATCACTTTCACTTTCATTAAAAATATATACTTGTAGGTTTAAAATTCCACATATGGCACATTTATTTTCTCCAACAACAAATATTTTAGCAATATGTTTATTTTAGTCAGAAATATTGCGTACTACGTAGTACTATTCACGCGCATGCGCGCGCCGGCGCTCGTTCAAGGAAGCATGAATTTTAGCGGAGATTCACTTGCAGAAGCTCGTCCTCTTCTGACATGGACATATTTGTTGTGAAATGGACATATTTGCTTTACTTTCTAACATTTACAGATGGAGAATATACCTGTGAAATGTAAGTTGAGCACTGAGGAAAGCACATCTCAAACGCATTAAACAGCGCAAGTATATCTGTCAGTCAGCAACAGTGTCTGTCAGAGCATTTGACAGGGCGGCAAGCTGCCTTAAACTTGTTAACTATATCAAAGTGATTTTGACGCAATTAATATAAGCTTGTGTCATGTTTAGGACAAATTGTACTACGTAGCCTAGCTACTTTCACTGCAGCAGCTCACACTGCAAACTCCGCTATTTTTCAGATGTGCTCATATCAAACTACTGTATCGATATTTACGGTATTGCCTCATTCCATATCGTTTCAAAAAATATAACGATACATCGTACATATTCGATATATCGCCCAGCCCTATCTCAAGGTCATTTTTCCCATATTTGAAGATGGCCCAATGAATGCGGTTGTGTTGCTAATGCAATATTTTTTTCAGGCATATGTTGTATATCTTTTTATTTAAGAACAAAAAAATTACAATCTTAAAATTTTCACTAGGAAGATGTCTGACTCTGAAACCATTGAACTGGCTTGTCTCGGCCGACCTTTTCAGTTGGGAATGCTTTATGACTGCCGAAGAGATGTCCTCATTCCAGGTAATAAAAAAACCCCCGCATGAACACACTGGGGAGGAAACAATCTAAATGTAATTTATTACTTTGTTCGATTTTGAGATTTACCTTCAAGGTAACTAATTATTAATATATACAATTTTCCCAAGGAATAACTCTTTGGGATGCTGAGATGCTGCACAAGAATATCAATGTACGGCCACAGCCAAACACTGACTTCAAAATCATTGCCTCAGATTCAAGTGAAGACAAAGTACAAGCTTTAAATGTTTCTGCATCTCTTGAAGCCAGCTTTCTGGGTGGATTAGTTAGTGTGAAAGGCTCAGCTAGCTTTTTAAATGACAAGAAGAAGTCCAAACATCAATCTCGAGTCACCTTACAGTATCGGACAACGGCACGTTTTGAGCAGTTAACTATGGAGCATCTTGGAGCAGGGAACATAAAGCATAGCAATGTATTTCAGGAGGGCTCGGCCACACATGTTGTTACGGCTCTATTGTATGGAGCTCAAGCGTTCTTTATTTTTGACCGTGAAGTTTCATCCGATGAAAATCATCAAGAGATACAAGGAAACCTCCAAGCATCAATCAAAAAGATACCTTTGATATCAGTTGAAGGTGAAGCATCTTTAAAAATGAATGAATCAGAAAAAGAGAAAATTAACAAATTCAGCTGCACTTTTCATGGAGATTTTGCTCTGGAAAACAATCCAGTTTCCTATGTAGATGCCATCAAGGTGTACTCAGAGCTGCCAAAACTGCTGGGAGAACATGGAGAGAATGCTGTGCCCATGACCGTGTGGCTTTACCCTCTGAAAAAACTAGATTCAGCAGCTGCTCAGTTAGTCAGGGAGATCAGTGTAAGCCTAGTACGACGTGCCCAACGGATCATGGATGAACTGGATAATTGTGACATTCAATGTCAAGACCTGATGAGGGACAATGTCGCCATTCAATTCCCTGAAATCAAAACTAAAATCAGAAAATTTAAGGACCTCTGCTCAGAGTACAAAATAGTTTTTCAAAAGCATCTCTGCAGGCTTCTTCCATCCATAAGGGTGGAGGAAAAGAAGAACAAGAGCTTGTTGATGCTCTAAATGACAAAGAAAGATCCCCGTTTCAAGGTGCTCTGGTAAACAAGTATCTCAATGAGCGAGAGCGAGAGATGAATGTCGTTAGATCTTACCTCGAAATCATGAAAGAAGTCCCTGTTCTTGCATCCAGCAATGACTTGGACAAGGTTGTCTTGAAAGCATCCAATAACTATGTGATAGCTTTTGCACTTTCCTCCTTAAATGAAAAGGATCTGTACCTTTCAGACTTGGAGAATTACCTGAAAAATACAATCATGTAACAATGGAGAGCAAGTCAGTTATGATCAAGACTCTTCAAAAAAGACAGAGAAATGGTTCTCCTCAGGAAATGTAACTTCACT